ATTGAAGACTAAATATAGAATCAAGAAATGTATTCACCTCAAGAAATTTAAAGCGAAGTAAGGAGGAAATTGAGCATTGTTGATTAAAATCCAGATACACCACGAGGAGGTCATGCTCAGGTATCCGTATTTTGTAATTTTTGAAAACAAAGATAAGTAATAACATGGGATTTTATACTTGTAGAACGTTATTTAAAACTAAATATAGAAAACAACAATCAAATCTTATCATACAAACATATTATTTATTACCAAATAAATCATCAATCACATGTAAATCTTCTAAGATAAATACGATAAATTCTTATCATTCTATCGATCGTAATCATTTTAATAGTAATAAACATATTTCTTTTCTATCAATTCAAAGCAAAATACAATGAAATAATAATTAAAATTTGAATAATTCTCTTTTTCTCATTCTATATAATTCTCTTTCGCATCTTTACATCTTCTTTTATTTGTTTCCTTTTTGCCAAAATAATAACTTTATTTATAAAATTTATTATCAAATTACATATCTAAAAATTGATCAACCCAACTTTGTTCGTTAAATTGATCATCATTAAACTTCTCAAAATCGAACATCTCTTCTATATCATACTCCTTGTTATTCACGTGTTCTGAAGTATTTACTGGTACTAATTCGATATTCAAACCCTCTTCTGGATCGATATAATCTTCGTGATCAATACCAACGTCATCCTCCTCTAATTCCATGAAATTCGAAATCTCATCTTCATCTTCTTGAATGTAACCATAATCATTAAAACCTTTGTTGGTATCATTATTCGAATTGTAAATTTCACCTTCCTCTAAGTCGTCAACTTCGAACATTGTATTTTGAATTCGCTGGGCATCAATTGATTTCCTAAATTGAATTGCTTCATTTTTTGATTCTTCGTCACTCTCGGTACCAGGAAAGTATCTAACTTTACTTTTACAATCTTTATACCATGTAACTATCCACCTTTGCTTTGATCGATCAAAGCACACTCCATTATAACCAGATTTATTATTACTATATGTCTTTACATGAATACGACCATTACATAAATTGAACCGTCGATTATCCAATCGGTTTTTATTAATGTGACTGATCACTGCCCATTGAGGATATAGTAGACGATGAAATGCCACAGAATCTCCATCTACACAACGATAACATCTATATTTACTCTTGACTTCGCTCTTTGCATACCATTTACGTGAGATCACAAGTTTGTAATCTTCAATATCACAGAGCATCACGTGATTATGCTTATCGCTAAGTTTAATCTCAAGATATTTCACACCTCCTTCCTCTAGAACACGAATTTGATTATATGATTGATCTTCCATCTGAACTGAAACTTGCTTATTATCAACTCCGTCATTATTCATACATGTTCTTTCCAAAGTTCGTTGTTCATTGATAGTCTTTCGAAATTGAATGGCTTGTTCCCTAACCTTCGTATCATTCTTAGAACCACGGAAATACTTGCATCTATTTTTTCCATCTTCTTGCCAAGTAACTCTCCACCTCTTTCTTGTTTTATCATAATATACACCATTAGTTCCAAAACAATTTTTGGTTGAAT